TTTTCGGTGCACCTTGTGTGTATCGCATAAATGAATAAATACCTCTCTTTCACAGGCATATCAAATTTTCTGCATTCGTTCATTCTGCAAAAAAGTTATAAAGCATGACAGTCAAAAAATATTCGGAGCAATTCAATAACATCATCAGTATTCCTTCAGCAATGACTAAAACAAGATGATGAAGTTTTGAAAAGTTTTCCCTTTGAGTAGGTCCGATGTCTACATATTTTGTGTACAGGACCTAAACAGCTGTTTGTAGAGCACCGTTCTTTTATGGAGTTTGTACCGTCCAGTACGGGGGACGAGCATTCGGAATGACCAATCTATTTTGCCTTCGAGCGTTGTTTTCTTTAACGTTCAAGATGAATAAGCTAAACCTTAAGTAATCCAAGATTCATTCGAAGCAGTGGCACGACGCGGCTTTAGAAATTTTGAAAACGAAGTTCCTTTGGAGTTTACAACAACAGTACGACCCCTATGAGGTGCACATAGGGAAAGGAATCATGAATAAGAGAGGACAATAGAACAGAAAACACTAAAACAGTGATAGTGGGACTTTGGGAAAAATTCCTGTTTTTAGCCACCTCAGGCAGGTCGCCTGGTGCCTCGAGGTCACCTAATTCCGAAACAAAAGTTTGAGCAGCATCTTTTCAAAGATGTCACTTCAAGGATATTCAGGTCTACATGATTTTTCTAGATGCCGTCTGCGATATGTGTCTTCATTCGGCTGCACCTTGATCTCCAGTATGGAATAACCCTATTTCATCAAAGTTTGGTTGGGGGAAGGTCTCAAAGTGACAAGTTCGGTACAATGGCATAAGCTAAGGGTAACATGCTATCAAGCAAATAAATTCTACATATTGTGCAAAGAAAAGCAAGATAATGAAGAGGTATTTTTACCCGTCTCGCGTGCCTCAGTATTCATGTTCTTGAAAGAAGACTGCTGCCCAAACATTCAAAAGAGAGCGTATTTTGTTTATTAGGACAAAAAGGGATGCGTATGAGATGTGACAGAGACTTCGCTAGTCGTCAGAAGCTTTTAGGAACAAGTTCAAGGTTCGAATGGCCCGTGCGCATTTCTCAAAATATGATTCACAGTATTTGAAAAATTGTCATCTACAGTCACGTATTTCGAAAAACGAGATCTTGCAGACATTAGGCTCTTCGCAAACGTGTAGTGAACAAGAGTGATAAAACTTTAAGCAACTCTCTATTTTACTGGTGTCACTATCACTACGAACCTCACTTCAGCAATCCTCTTAACTTAGAGGAGACTCGTTTCAGTTCACTGACCCCTCACTGGGAACCATGTAGACGCTGATGTGAGATCTGCATCGGGATTTACATGTAAGCAGGTTGGTTTTCAAAAGCTCGAAGCTTTCTTCGCCAGATTTTTGAATATCAATAGAGAAGCTATCCCTACATATCGTATCATCTACGCCCTGTTTTAAGTCCTCCTTTCATCCTTACCCTTCTCAGGTTGACCATCAGGACCTCATTGTGATGCGCCTAGGTGTTGACTCCTGTCGCATTTTCTGTGGAAATTCTTCTGTACTCAGGTACACTGTTAGAGACAGACGATTTCAAGCCCAGTTTCTGGCCCTGGTAAGGCTTGACTTAGAAGGGAAAGATCCCAAGTCACTGTGGCGATCTGGAACGAAAAGCAAATTTATTGGACTCGCCCAGTCAAGCTGGTTTTAAACCTATCCTCCATATCTGCTGCGCGGTTCTCTTGAAAAAATCATAAGAGATTGAAGGTGCAAAATTGTTGAGGCTATAATGCATTGTGCTTTGAGAATTAGTTTTGGAGCGCATAATTAGCACATTGTTATGAGTACTGACTGGAGAGAAATACATACGCCGCCAGTATGGATAAGTGTTTTCTACAATACTTTTTAAAGTTGTGGCACAGAATGTTTGCCGGATTCGGGCCTTTATACGATAACTTCTTCTAGTGAACAGCGCAGCAAAAACGGCAGTCAGATTTGGAAACACTCAACATGACGCATTTCATTCCAAATCGCGTCGGCGATGTGGGGTCCTAACCTAGCTAAAATTTTTGTCAGCTGATGGATCCAACCAATGCAGTACGTTTCTTTGGCATTACGGCGCCTTCATGCTTTTATGTACGGAGAGCTAGGGATTTTGTTGAAAACTTTGGACTCAATGCTCGAACTAAGGCAAGTCATTTATGTTATTTGAACGCGATTTTTGACTCTCGCTATTGCCAGATTGGCATCAAATGTTGCTTAATCAGTCCACTTTGCTTATTCATTTAATCAGTGCTGCCTTGAAAATTTACAGAATCAAGATGCTGCTTTGGCAGCGTGGGCGTAAGTCGTAAACAGGCTTTCGGTAATATTAATTTCTTTCTTCTTACCCATCAGCCCTATTTTTTCTTTTTGTAGTTCATTTTCTATACTAATGAATTTTTGGATTTATCATATGCATATGATTCCCACTTCGTTGAAAATGTGTTTGTCTAGCATAAAAAATCAACAAAATCTAATAAGCAGGTTGATCTTAGTAATTGATCCGAATGATATCAGGGGTCAGCTGTGCGTTGGCCTCCAACACAGTAAGTTTTTGTTTATGGACTTATCCTCCTTCTTCATTTCTATTTTTGCAAATAAACGTTTTGAATGCCTCAAAATGCAAGATTTTCCTAGAAAAAAGCATAACCTTCTGGAATTTTCTTAAACTTAAATGGCAAAAGATGGAGCTATAGCCCCTCAAGCGTAAGGGTAACTTTGTACGGACTAGTTCATATAGCCCTTTCAAATGGAACATGTTGACAAGCTCACCTCAAGTGATATCAAAGATAGTCCAAATAGTGCCACGAATTAAGATCAGTTTGCATGAGGAACTTTGCAAGTTTTTGACCTGCTTGGAAAATCGGTTCAACCTTTTAGTAGCTTATTCTGGATTGAAGTTCTATATTCGTTTGTTGTGTTTACGTTGTTCCACTACACTTTTGCAGGTTTTTCATCCTGTTTGCAGAGATCTTGGAGGCTCGGCTATAGACAGGCGTCCCCCACTTGGCTGCAAGAGAGAAACAAATGACTGTTGTTTTTGCGCAAATGCGCGTTAGAGTAACATGCAAGTTTAAAAGGTTGTGTACTACAATGAAAAAATTATTTACGGAAAGGAGAAGAATGGCAATAAATCAAACTCAATGAAAATTAAATTCTTGAATGAACTGTCAACATCTACCACTCGAAATACACTCTTATACGCGGCTGTTTTGAATGTCATTTTTCGAGCCTGCTTATCACTACGATAGACCACATCGGTGTACACCTGTGAAAAGATTTCACCTTGATAGCTGAATTTTCTAGAAAGAATACTATAATTGCATTTTCCATGATGCTATAAGAAGAAAGCGAATAATCTTTGGCAGATGTGTTGTCTACCGCAAATTAGAGGATATCCAATTATCTTTTCAATAGCGGCAAATCTTCCTTCCGAAGTATGCCTTGTTCTTGTTGTCGATTCTAAGCTAAACCACGAAAAAATGTTGAATGACATAGATGACAGCCGTCTGGTATGAAACGCAAAAGAGATGTAGTCCTTGCCCTTCATTAATTTTCTATCAGTAGTTCTATGTAAGTAAAGGCACACTTTGTTTTTATTATGGTATCTCATGCATTCCCGTGCTGGTTTTTATAGTCTTGACTGAATTGGGAAAACTACGAGTCATTACGCAGAAAATTATTTTTTTATTATGATGCTCTTTCCGAATGGGTTCCTTCGATCTGGCAAATGTACTCCGTGGTAAATCGAAGAAAAAAATTTTTCAGCTCTTCAACTTGTTGATTATTTTCAGAAGAGGTCAATGTACATAGCCACTACTGCTGTTAATAGTTCGTGCTTTACCCATAATTCATGCTCCAGCTAAGATAGCAAGAGTATGTCTAAACTGTCGCGTAAGCGGAAAATAAAACTTTGCATTCATAAGTGGATCTAATATGACAACGAGCTAGACAGCAAAAGAAATATTCTGAAATAAGACCGCACACCATCAACAATGCTCAAATCATTAAGTGAAGGATTTGGAATACAGCTCGTAGCTGGAACGTAAATCAGAAGATTTCATGGAAAAGAATTAGCACATTTCATTTACTTGTGGAACTCAGGTTAACGATATTAAAATTTCATCACAGTTCTTCTGTGGTGATAGGATGACTTCTGACATTTTGACAGAAACAATGTCTTCTTTTTTATGCATTCGGTACGATGCTGTCAGGATATATAGCCGGTGCTTTTTTCATTCATAGAAAACAGAAAAAAAAGTCCGATAATAGCAAATAGTTTAGGGTTGAGGGCTACGTAGACATAATGTCAGCATACAATTTGATACCTGTTAGCATTGTCAGTTTTTCATAATCAACAAACAATTTCTTTGGCTTCCTTGGCATCATAATAGTTTGCAGTCAATGTGTGAAATTCATCCGAATCGTTCAAACCGCACAAGTTTACAACTTTTAAGGACTATATAGCAAATAGCCTGCACTTTTGACCTTGCCTTCATAAATTATCTAGGCATCTATGATCTAGGCAGCATCAAGGCAAATTTTATCTTGTCCATATCATACTGCTATGCTCTGCGGTTAGAAGACAAGAAGTACAACTTGCACTGCATTGATCTCCTTTTGGTACTGAAGGAAATTTTGAGGATAAATGCTGAGATAAAAATTCGTAACAGGCTCGCTGGAAGCTTTGTTTTCTTGGCTCCATTTGGCCTCCAAGACACTCTCTTTTTCGGGTAACCTCCAGAAACATGGAAAAAACCTCAGTTCAAGCACCAAAATAACCCAAGCGGATTCTGTCACATTCGGAACTCGTTAACGATCAGCACTTGTTGGATAACTGCCTCATTCGGCATGACGGCAAAAAGACTCAATTGTAGAACTACTGGGTAAACGATATGACTTCAGGAGATGTTATTAGGTACAACAATTTCCTCAATTTCTTATTCTCTCGTCTAATGTGAACATAAGTTAACCTCTAACACGAATTTATTTAACCGACACTTGCATTATTACATAGAGCATATCTCTAGGGCGGATGTTCAGCCAAAGCGGATGAACTCGTTTTTGCGTTTCTCAACTGAAAAAATCACATGAAGCAGATGCTGAAGATGCGAAATATGCAAAGGAAATCCTACCTGCTGCACCGTCGTAAAGCAGTGGGTCGGATCGACCAAACCTGAAATGAACAAATTTATGCTGTTTTTCAGCAGCTCAAAGTTGCTCCTTCTCACCGAATAAATTCATTCTTTCTCTTGCCAAATCGAATGAATTCGTTTTTCCTCTTAACGTCACTGAAACAACATACATATTTAATTGGGCAAATGTATATCTTAGGCATTCAGGCATGATAAAGGCAGATCGAGAGTGGTTCTCTCGTAATAGCCACTGATCTAGCTCACGCAATCCGAAACATTTAGCGCTTTTATTATGCATGACACCTAGTGTATTCATAGATGAGGTGTACTCAACGACAAGAGCTTTTCATAAGAGCAGGCAAACTTACTTCAAACTACGCTTGCCAAATCTGATAAATTCATTCTTTCTCTTCTCGATGCTCGGCTCATCACTGCTGTTCAATGTGATGTCTGTAACAATCATTTAATGGGATAAGAGAACTACCATGAATGTTTAATTCCCCCGCACATACCCGTTCGTTGAAGAATTTCCTGTACAGCAGCTTCGAGTACGCTGACCTCGTTCTAAAAGTAATCAAACTGTCCACGAGTCTTTAGAAATTTTAAAGAGCAGCATGTCTGGTTAAATGTTAGTTGGAGTCAAGCAATACATAATAGAGTGTGCCGACAAGGTCATTTCAACGCGAGCAGACCTTTCATGGACATTTTGATCAGGATGATCCTAGAACTCAAGACTTAGGGAGATATTTATCAGTTTACCTATCTTAATAAAGCGCTGCTTTGTCGTTATAAACGAGGGCCAGCACCCGATCTGGTTCTCGTTTATATCGGGAAGCAGCGCCATATTAGAGATTGGGATATTGGTAAACTCTCCAAAATGGGGCCAGGTCAAACAATTTCGAGGTAGAAGGAAAAAGTGAGAAGATTTTTATCTAGTCATTTGCTTATTTACATAGCTAAAAAGTGGCAGCTAGATGTTCTTATGAGGGGAGACGGTACATCAAAGCTTGCCTATCTTGGTGTCCTTCGAAAATGAGACCCATGAGTCCGAGTTTACTTTAGCCTGTGAGCTGTTGGAGGCACAGCTCAAAATGAGAAAAACCAAAATTTTCAAACATGTGTTCAGCTAAAAGCCGCAGATCTATGCGAAAATCAGGCATTGGATGAATTGTTTGCAAATTCAAGCGCATACCTCAAGCCTGCACACATGCTGTCCTAGTTCCCGTTGTGATTCTGGAAAACTCGTAACATCACATTCGTAGGTGAAGCTCGAAACGATAAGGGTGGCTCCCAGTAAGAGGAGAAGCATGTCAAATGACAATATCGTCATCGGCTCGCCTTATGTACCTCCCCGTCTCCGCCTTCCACATCTTGACAGCCAATAGTGACTAGACCCCAAACGCTAACGTTAGCTTTCATTGAGTACATTTCCTTAGGCTACTGAGATTACATCTGGTCAAATCTATCATTACCAGAGTAGCAGAGAAGCGGGTCTGGAGTGTATTGGTCTGTGTAAACTGCCGTTTCCATTCATCCGCATCTTTTTCGTGTGAGGGTAGATTCCGGTATCAAAATTAACCACACAACTTTATGGCAAGTCCCTAGTTTACAAAATTCCCACTAACTAACATTTACATCAATGTTGTCCCCAGAATCTATCAGATTCTAAATCACCTTCATATTCTATCAAAATCACAGAAATTTTTATTTCAGGAAAAACGTAAAAGAAATGAAGACCTAACCACTAACCAGGAGACGGTACTTGTAGAAACTCAATATTTTAGTCAATTGAACTGCAAAGACTTCATGGCGTGACAATGCATTCGTAATGACGATTCTCTTGATGAAAAGCACATACATCAGATGAAAACACTAGGAATTTCCTACGGTTCTACTATAAACATGGACGACGTAGGCTGTAAGACGATCTTTAGTCAATCATTCCCAGAATTATGATCATTTTCGGAAACTGCGCGAATCACTCCATACATTATGAACTACTGAAAGGGAGATTACGGTAGTAATAGCGTGTATGCTACCTTTGCAATGCAACAAATCTCGGAATTGCTCCGAGATTGTCATGTTTTTACGAATACAACATCCAGAACAAGATATGAACTCCGGTCTGTCTGCCTCTCATTAATCTAAGCAATCAAAGGGCAAAATTTATGCAGATAGCTAATGACGCACACCTCCACCACTTTCTTGAGAATGCTTCCTCGACCCGATATAGTGACAGACCACTGGTTTCGTAGATTCGTTTATTTAATTAATAATATTTAACTCACAACCTCGAAGAAACAGCACAAGGATTGGGAATGTCACTGGCGTAATCACTTCAATATAATATAGTCACACATAAAACTTTCTCTGAAACGTTGCACGCCGTAAGTAGCTCGTACGGCTCTTGGCTCGAAATTCGGAGTAAAATGAAAATTCTACACATACATGTTAGATTGGCAAGCGAATTATGCACATTATAGGAAGTGAATATGGGATACGCGCAAGACCTCTTCTAAACACTGCCGCGTTTTAGATTTTTAGCTGAAGATGAGAATCAAGATAGATGAGTTAATTTGTGCAACGCATCGAAATCTTTGGCAGGGTTAGAGGCGATATAATTATATATTAGAAATAAGAGAAATGAACAAAAGATCGGCGACTAGATTGCACATATTATATAATTATATTCGTAATGTACAATGAGTGAGAAGTGCAGTAGGCGAACATCACAACAACATCTACACGGACTAGAGCTTTAAAATCTCAAAAATACAAAAGAAAAGTGGATACAATTGTTTACATAACATATGTAGTCTTCAACAGCATCACATCCGGTAATGCACATATAGATACAGTTTACCTAATACTAGCAGACTAGACAAGATGTGTCATGTTATACACTGAAGGAAGAGTTCGGAACTTCAAACTAGCGTCTGCACCGCAAGAGAAAAGTCGCAATTGTTGGTCAATATAGAGCTGTTGCACACCTTGTACCGTCGATTGCGCAACTAAACATGAACAATGCTCAAGTACTAGCATACCTTTAAGAAACAGCACTAAAATCAGTTGTATAGACCAAAAAAATCAGTTTGAAACTATAGCGAAAATGGCCAATTTGTCATTGCATAAACAGGAAAAAGTGTACCAAAAACCTGCGTGCACATACCGAAAAATGAAGATGAGAAAGCTTAATAGACTGACCTTGTCTGAAAGAGAATCCACCTTTGGCCGCATGTTCACCAGGAAGTGAGTACATTAACTGCGGATTCAGGTCAGCGGACCATATCTGAGTAGCACAAAGTGTAATATAGACGAGATACCCATAAAAACTATACCTTTATATCACCGTCACTTGACCCGGCTACTATCAGATCTTGGGCATTGTCGGTGACCAAAGCCTTCACAATTTGATGAGACTCGAATGCTTTGATAGTTGAACGCAGTTGACGTTGACGTATGTCCCACAAGCATAATTCGCCGTGTCGACCACCGGACACGATTGTCTAAAAAGGGGGTCTAGATAATCAGACTACGTAAATGCCCTGCCGAAGACAAGAAAACTCAGCATTATGACATGACTTTCATAGTTCCGGTGAAGAGCAGCACCATTCTACAGAATTTACCAAGTATTCCATTCCACATATTTCGCGTAAACATACACCATCATTTCATTAAGTGTGTCATTTGCGGAGTCCATGATTAACTAACAGATTGACTCAAATATCCTCCCCCGCCCCCTTTCGAAGAATTGATTCATTGATCATGAAAGTAAAAAGAAGCTGCAGAATCTGGGCTAGGTAGTTTTTTTTAAAGTGCCACAGAGTTGCATTGACTCCAATCAATCAGAGCCATAGTAAACATCGGATAACAAACATTGCCCAGAGATGCAATACAACTTCTCAAAATTCGATGATGTTAATATGATGACCGCAGTCACAGCGCAAGCGCGGATTACTTCTTCAAATCGCTAGACGAAGAGCAAAACGTGTTTTTAGAGCATCTTTGAAAGCCACATCTCCATTTTACGAGTTTAATTAATTTTAAGCGTAGATATTACCCATTGAGTGTAGAACTGAGAGCATCTTCCGCAATATTTCAGCTTGATGTTCTGGAACCTTTCCAAAGAAGCATGAGTCTACCATTGCACAACGCAAGGGAAAAAGTGAGGACAAGTGCGGATTTTAATGTCACTCTGTAGAATCAAAGCTCATGGAAATCTCATGCAAAATTAGTCTGAACTTTCCTTGTAAGAAGTACTACCGACTGCCAACAAACTATCGACCTAAGCGAACTCACTTGCTGGTTGGGTATATACATGGCTACTGTAGCTCCTTCAGGATGCGCCACCCAAGAGTGAACCAAGGCTCGACTCTGCGGCAGCAACGTATCCCAAAGACCGAGGTTGAACTCTCCAGATGAGGCGCCTGCCGTTATCAATACAGAAGAACTATGTCCAACAAATCTCACATCCGAAGCTGATTTATTATGACATCTTTGACTCTGTGAAAAAAGGGATGTAGATCAAAAACACGTAGAACGAGGACGGCACTTACAAAGAAGGGTTTCTTGTGTTCGGTAGAATGGCTGGCTTGCCACAGACACATCAGACCATCTCCATCAACAGCTGCGAATTTATTGCCATTGCAAGAAAAGGATATCTTAGCCACCTAGAATGAAGACGTTGATGTAAGTCGCAGAGCAATTGATTCCGAATCAACCTTGGCATGCTGCCCAGCGACACGAGCAGTGTAGACGGGCTGTCCAACACTCCATTCCCATACCCTGATAGAGCCGTCCGAAGAGCCGGTCACATCTAAATGCCAATACTGAGACCTAAAAAAATCCACTCGTTGACTTACAGAATGGCGCTGTCGGGTGCGAGTCTATCCTCCGAATCCCATTGATCGTTCTTTTGAACATCTATAATTCAGGAGCATTGTTTTGATGTATCACTCAGCACAATGCAAAGCAACGGTTTTACAGGTACGCAACTGAATTCATAGGGCACTAACACATCACATTATACCTACCTTTTGTAGTCCCATCCTACTTCTATCAATAATCCAAGGGGTTATTGGCTGAGGAATTGGTGCTTAGTAATTAGCGATATGACCATAACAAACTGAACACATACCATGGTCGCTGTTTTGGGCCCTTGATTTTGTTGTGTGCCTTCAGTGAATAGCTGGTAATCATCATTCTCTTTCAGCGGATCACGGCGAGTTGTTATCAGGTTCATCTAAAGAGACCGATATGTATTTGAGAGTAAAACTAGGCTGTATGACAGACATCTAGCTCCGTTCGATTGTATAGCCAAGATGCTGCATTACTGGACTCTTCAAATATCCCAGATATGTCCATCTCCTGTAGTTCTCGTCCTGTGGAGACTACTAACCATCCAGGCTTTTCCTAGCAAAGGGAGAAGATAATAGATTTGCTATCACTTGATAACATGTCAGTAACCATGAATAGTCTGTCGTCAAATTTGAGGCGAAAACCAACCTGGTTACAAGCGAAGGCGACAATTGGTTCATTGTCTTTCTGAATGATTTTGAAAGCGTCTGGAAGGGGCTGATTTTCAATACCGGCTAGAGTATCATTGCGTTCGGGTGGCTGCTCCTAAATATAATGATTCGTACATGTACGAACAGGAGACCAGAGCATACTTGCTGTCCTTGTGCTGCAAATATATGTCTAACGAACAAATGCTGAAGATGATCTTGATGAACCATGTACGACCATAATCGCTGAAGGGGACCAGCTCGAGGATCCTCGGACTCAAAAGGGGTGTTATTCTTTTCTGTGACAACAGCGTACTTCCTGCAAAAGCTTCATGAGCTTCAAAGCCTATCAGTGGAATGGCACAAAACATACTTCGATGTGATGGTATGCGATTCGCTGAGATCCAGAGTCATATTCGGCAGCAAGTCAATCGGGCAACCACCGCGATAGGTCTGGAGAGCGTGGCGCAACTGCAAAGACCACCCATCGAGGAGGCGCAGTACAGCTTCGACCCGCGGAGCTAGAGCGGGGACATCTGTAAAGACTCGTACAATGAGATGGCCTTCCTGCTCTATGGGTAAACGACGGAAGAAACAGTAAGAAGATCTGGATATACCGTTTGGATCAAAGCCAGCAAGCATCAGAAATTGTCTAATTCTGTAGATCTGCTGTTCGACTAGAGCGAGCCTGAGCAACTGCCAGGCATATGACGTAGGATTCACGTTTTCGCATCTAAATCTTAACCTGAGCAAGAATAATCTGCGAGCCGATGCATTGACGGCATTAGATCGAAGTACAAGGTAAAAGAGAGAGCTAATACTCCATGCATAATTCACTACTCTTTGCTTATCCAACAAGAGCTCTTAATAAGTCACACTTTGACAAACCTGTCGTCCTCCATATCACTCTCACTGCTCTCATCCGAGTCATCATCCGAGTCGTAATCGACACCAAAGCTGTCTTTAGTATTTAAAGAAGGCTAAAAAAAATTCTCATAATCAGCTGACTAGCGGTTCAATGTTTGTTCTCTACCTTGTCAGCAAAAAATTGCACGATATTCTTTTGCGGTGGAACCCATTTGGTCACAGTTTGCTCAAGCGCTGAAGAAGAACGTACGCTTGGTATACCTGAGGGTGGAGCCTCTGCTCCAAACACCTGAATGAGAATGTTGACAATGACACAAATGTTCAATCAACTCCAAAGCAGCTGAGATTTTGGAGATATTGGTTATATGAAAAAAAACATCAAAACGAGCGTAATTTACCCTTCACAAAAGGTTGTACCGACAATATCAACTTCCATATTAGTGTTTCCCACCGTCAATATAGCAAAAGGAAAATCTGACCTTTGCATGAAGCTTTGACCGGAGCGATTGCGCATCAGAATTCACCGCAGAACTCTCGCTAGGTCTCTTCGGACGAGCGGACGGGCCTTAAAACATTTCAGATTACAGAACTGAGCATAAATATGAGCATTAGCTATGAACTATAACGAACGCGGTGGTCTCATCGGTGGTATAGCCTTCAGTTTCTTCTCGCCTCCCCCGCCAAATATCAAAGAGAACTGTACGTCATCCAGCTGATGAGCAGATAATCGATACAACCATCGCGAATCATAAACAGCTAATGAGAAACAGAACAACGACCTAAAAACAGTCAGTGAACCCACAAATACATCATGCAATGATAAGGACCGTACATTGTTATTGCGACAAAACATTCTGCCAAAAGCTGCCGCAGGTGAGGAGCTTCGTCATCCTTTTCCCGAATCAATAATGCCACCTTAAACAAACAAGGTGGTCCAGGAAGAACAGGCCAAAGGAAAAAGCCACACTCAAAAGGCTCCAGCATTCTCCTTATAATAATCACTGCAGAAAGCAGAGACGGTTAAGGGAGTGTCCGGGCAAAAATTCGATTTCTAGAAAATCCACTAACCGGGGGTTATCCCCAACGCTGAATCAGAAAAAATCCACGTTGGAAGGCGCGAAAACGACGAGAACATACGTTTTCCAAAGCGTTACAATTTGAAATTTGACCGTCCCCGCCAGGCTCGCAGAGTCACTGCAGGACCTTACGATTTTGACTGTGGCGGCATGCGTACTCTGCCGCTTAGCAAAACTCGAACAGCTCGGAGAACCCCGCTATAGGCGTAGGTTCTCCACTTTCTGGTCGTTTTTCTTGCTTTGGGTCGAGCGTTATGTCCTCGCACTTGCGCGATGTTGTGTCTGAGGAGGGCCACTTTCGCATGGCACTGAAATCCCAAAACCCCCAATTTGCCCGGACACTGCCTTTAAGGCTAATACTCTTTAAAAAAGAATGAGACGTTTTACAAACCAAGTTGTCCACACCCGGCCATCGACAAGGCGGCGTTGTTACCCTAATGTCATCCGTAACAGTCGAAACACGAGTTCTTCGCGTAAGAGCACTGAAAGATGACGTAGAGAGGAAAATTCAAGTTGCACGTGGCACTGCTCCGAGTAATAATGTAATGATTGTTTGAGTAGTTCTGACAAACATACCCAAGTTTCGCATCAGAACTAGCCATGGCTGGGAACTGGTCCAAATCACATAATGATTGATAAAGACACGATGACAAACCCTGGCTAAGGTTATATAACATGTAGGCCTGTAATGCATGCTTTAAGGGAAATAGCTAAAGAAACATCGCCACCTTCTGCACATGCTTGTCAACATCAGGAACACTGGAGAGATCAGCAATGGTCGAAAGAAGATCATAGCACTGATTTTCAATGAAAGACATTGGTGAAGAAACAAACATCTTTGCCGAAGAGACTGATGCAACCAGAAGAGGGAAAGAATTGGCGTCAAGAACTGGCTCTGAATATGTTACATTCAGAAGCCAGATATACAAAGAGACGAAAATGAAAATTTTACCACTGAGATGAGCAACACCGGTATCCTTCTGTACTTCCAACAACAGCAGCAAGAGTTCCATAAGAGCAGAAGTGAGACGATGATTTTGAGCAGAATGTAATGCGCAAAAGGATGTGAATGATCTGAAGTTATAAAGTGAAAAACAAAGAATAATCCATAAAAAGCCGCTTGCGATGACTGCAAGACTCAAAATTGTTCACTGAAATCTTAAAATTAATGGCATGCCTGAGTAGCTTCTGATTCGCAATTAACCACTTCCGCCGCCTACTGGCAAACTTCAGTTTTAGCATAATGTCGGCACGATCATTCCTGATAGCTTCATGAAGAGCAGTACTACCTCTGCAAAGCAAAATATGGTCATCAAAAATTTGAGTATAAAAGCAGACTTACTCGCAGCCTGAATCCATTTCTAGCTCATCATCGGTGTCATCGTTATAATTCTCCGAAGTGGACCGGTAATCACAAAGGTCTTTCAGGACTTCCACCTCTTTTTCCAACCAAATCAGCAACTGAAGAACAGTGAATCAATCAACAGTCATGCAAAAGCATCGTTCATGCTACTCAAAGGGCATATCCATCATACTGACTGCAAGAAAAGCAATAGACTGATTTATAGACCTGCGGTGGAAAGTACCAACAACGGTAGTTGAAACAAAGGGCTGATTTTTGGCTTAGAGACTTGAAACTATGAGTGTTACCCTGGATATGACAAAATCAGATTGAATGTTCAGGCATTATAGTTGCACTGCGTGGTCAATAACACCCACTTGGTAACTCATTCATTCTAACTTTTATTTACATCGTATCAAAATGCATACCTGGAAACGCAGCTGTCCTCCATCCACTTCAAATCCACTTGCTAATGTAGATAGTTCCTCAGTAAGAATTCGTAACGATGCCACAAATTTCAGATGTTGTGCGATGACATCGGGCGTCCCGACGCTGACCTAACAAGGACCACTTAACGTGAGAGCTTTCCTGAGATGCCACAGGAAAAGAACGCACTTCTGAACTGGGACTCCGCTCTGTCACGATAGCAGGTACTGCAGTTGGTGCTATTCCATTGGTCTTATTTTCTTTGACAACTTTTTCACCATACTCATCAAAGTCTTCATCGTCATCGCTCCAGTCTAACGACAGTTCATCTTTCTGAAGTATGGCAGCTGATGAATTTACAAGCTACGAGATCATCCTAAAGATTGTAAATAATGATAAAAACGCAATCTCACAGTTATAACATCCGTAGGTTTGCTCCAATCCACATTGACCGTCTCGCCGCCTTTTTTGGACAAACTCTAGAAATAAAGGTAGATACAAAATCCGGTGTGAATGGTGTAAGATGAAAGCAAGCTACGACGTTTCCTTCATAAAACATACATTTCCCGCCAACAGAGTTCTAAGCGATCCATCTTTGACCATGCTGATATTCTTAGGCAGTCTGCTCAAAACATCCAACGCAAGCATAGGACAGCCATGAGCCATGTGCTCAGCAGCGGTTCGGAAGTATAATCTGCAAAAATCATGGTGGCTATCCATCTTTTATAACAACGCAAAGCTAATTTCTGAACAAATCGGAAAAAAGATCAGCAACAAAATTTCAAAAATTGGTACGATTTCAGTTGGGGTTTTGACAATTTGTAAAACTATATTTGGATTATGAAAGAGAAATGAGCAAGTGCCAAGAAAATATTGTGCACCTTCGTTCCGACGGTGTAACAAATGCCTCATGTTGCTTACCAACGGCCAAAAACTGCTCTGTTGAGCCAACCTGAACGAACGTGAATTTGAAAAAAAAAAAGTCTAATTAAAAAAAACTAAGGAGTATTGCTGATCAACTCCCATTCAGCAAGCAAAGAATTAATCGACGCACCTGTGCACCAGCATCGGTGAGCCTCTGCCTCACTACGAGAGGATGTCTACGCAGATATGAATAGAAGTTAAATATGTCCGAAAGACTGGTGCGAAGACTTGCTCGATCTCTATGTGCCTCCTGAACTAGAGTATGCGCTGCCCTCGAGTAGTCCTTCAGAAGCCAGTACGTCATGGAACGAATAAATGGATCTCTAAAATCAAAAGTTTGGGAAACTTACAAAACATGGAAACATGCAAAAAAAAGGAACAAAGTCGACGAACTTGTTTGCACCGGGACTGAGAGTGCTGTCGTCCTCCACGTTCCCACGCATTTGTTCAAACTCCTCTGAAGACTGGCCCAAAACTTCACTGCAAAAAACGCAGATAATTGTGCATGAGAAAGTCTTACGACAAGCTAACCGGCAAAGCATTTCTTTGAGCATGTTCTGTTGGGCATCAAAATCTGACTCATACAACCGCAGCACGACCATTGCTAATTGCAAGTCATGGCATTTGCACAGTATCGTCTGAAGTGCAAACAGATAATGCATTTCAAGAATGAGGAAGAACCAACCTGAATAGCATCCTTGAGACTCCCACTGAGCAAGAAGAACGCAGCAGCATGGTGGAATCGCTGCTTACTCATTAATACAAAGGCATTCTTAGCAGCTACCTAAACGAATTTTTTGCAGACCCTTATCGAAAATGACCAGCGAACCTTCTTCCAATGCTCAGCATTGAAATCTTGCATGAAGAATTCGGCCATTGTCGAATTACGTACGGTCTAAATAGAACAGTGAAGTAGTGAAGTGAAACGGATTGATTATATGATTGCTCATAATGGCTATAGACACTATAGACAGGTGAAAAGACTAAGCAGACCTTGAACAGATGAGTCAGGATGTTCTTTTTCTTGAGAGCTAGGTAATATAACGAAGAATCCATTGGATCTTGATTTTGTTGGAATGCGGCCTTTGCAAGCTATAATGAATCGTCTTAAAACTTTTGTCTTATAAGTCAACATAAAAATCAAACCTTTTCAACACAAATTTTGAGGCTAGCCGTATTTTTCAACCACCAAGCCACACCAAGGCTTCTCAACTCATCCCATGTCGGATTTGACTTCTGCAGGCCAGGGACTGCGTTTAACAGCTCCGTTTCCGTCTCGGAATGCTGAGCCCAGATGATGTCCGATGAAGCAAGCCCAACCTTCTGCAAAAGATAACAGAAGCTTAGAGGGACAGTCGTGACTTTTCGCACCTTCAACTCCATTCTTTGTTTCATAGGTAAGCAGACTAGCAGATATTCATGCTGTTTCATGGCCATCAAGTAACGCAGCCCACATTCGTCAACAGTCTCTATTCCAGATGCGGCTGTTGCGTAGCCTCCTGCAGTAGCATCACCAAGAACGGATGGCACTGCTGGTTGCATGGCTAAAGCAATGTAGCTTAGATGAAAACTGTTTTGACAAAACATGCGTAAAGCGTGAGAATGATTGCAGTACATTGAAAATCAGACAGACTATTCAATTCAGTGTCATTAATTGCGAATTCAGTATACAAGACAACATCAAACCTTCATTAGAGTTCCTGAGTGGACTTGACCTCACCTGCATTAGCCTGTGTTAACTTATCCATAACATCGGTGGTAAAGTGACTAAGCGTATCTGCGATGGCGAGCAAGTGCATTTGATCGACACTTGATAATCCAGGTAGATGCGTATGCGTTAACAACTCTGTCAGCAGTCTAAAGAAAGTGCAGCTATTGAGCAAGACAAAAACTGAAAAGCTGCATCAAAGAATGATTCTACCTATTATGACGAGCAGTAAACACAACCGGTACAAGGTCGTCCTGCATATGATCGCTTGATGTGGAGGGATTACGAGAACGTCCAGTTGAATCCGTCTCACGTAACATTTCATCCAGATCGCTATCTTCAAGTTTGTCCGCCGAGAATAGAGAATCGTACTTTGGAGTGTCATTCTGTAATCGGTTCGAAGATTCTTCTTGTAATCGACAACAAAAGAGGAGAGCGACGAAAGAGAATCTCACTCCGCCGAATGCCTCTGCTTTCTCTCCGCTTTCATTATTTCTGTCAGTGTCAGCCGTAACCAAAGCATGTAAAGGTAGCAGAGCGATATCGTCAATTTCATTGTAATCTGGAGAATCTTCCTCAAAATTGATGGGACGTCCCTGAACAGATCTAAATATGCGACCCATTTTTAAAAGCAGCCCAGCCGCCCTCGACTGCAGCAAATTGAAAACGATATTTATATGCTCGTTGCGTAAAGAATATCGAACAAAGACTGAGGCTAAAAAATTCTGATTTATAAGGTATGGTCATTCCTGCACATAACATAACCAAGTACATGAAAACTAGATGCATCTCAGTGATTTTGATTTGGATAATAAATGAGACTATTTGTCAAGCAAATCATGCGCGAAGTCATAAATCATACCGTGACTCCTTCTGTGACACCATCGTCTACACCTTCAACCGTTGACATCCGCCTCATAGACGCGGCTCGAGACAAGGGATTATGCATGACGACTTCTCGCTGCTGAAACAGCGATGAAGTCTTTATAAATGCCAAGAATTTCGAACCTTTAGGACAGCAAGAACATGGAGGAGAATCGCTTTCACTCTTTTAGTTTTCCCAGCATTGAGAAGAACAATCAATTGTTTTGGATGATACTGAGGCAAAATTGGAGAAGATAAGCGAGCAGCTTCAAAAAGGCCCTCTCCGGAAAGTGCATCTAAGACCATTGAAGAGTTCGAGTCCTTATTTGAATACCTACAAAAACAGCCGTTTGTCAAGGGGGCTAAAACAAGCTTGCTGACTTGTTCATTAAATCTAGGAATAATCTGCTTTTGGACGGCGTCATCTCTTTCTTCTTCTGAAGTTGATCGAGCATTGAGTGCGATTGGGAGATAGCCAATGTGAGCATTTGTGGATTGGTTGTTTCGCGATGACTGCAAAATACATGTTCTCATAACACAGTAAAAAATCAGTTCTAAGAAAAATAGCAGCAGACTAGGAATCCGTGACCGAAGCTTTGAAGAAATTACAACCAAATCGTTCGCAGGAAAGACCTACGTCATGGCCGGCTCATTGCCTCGCCGCTGAAGATTCCACTGGTTGTATACGCGCATCTCGCTTTGCATTCCAACGATGAGCAAACCATCTCGAGCCCAGCCTAGTGTTGTTGGCACTGGAGGCAAACCATCAGCCGATTGTAACTCAAGCACTCTTGTGCACACCCAGCGAGTCTCAAGCAGCGACTCTCGATATTAAGTATGCCTTTTCAAATGAAACTGATACCAGGCGACTGTAAGAATGCGCATGACCGACGAGAGATGAAGCTTTCCTAAGCGATGGGCGCCTCATACTGGTATCACTTTCTCTCATCAAAGCCACATTTTGTTGTGCAGGATCGAGGGACATCTATAAGCCGATTTTCGTGATCAGAACATACACTTGCTCTTAGATACCTGTGTATACATGTAAATAGTCGCGGCGATTCCGGCAGTAAGGATGTGAGAGCCGTCTTCAGTAGAAACCCAATCCAATCGCACCATGTTCTTGATGGTAGCTTAAGCGAATACGAGTTGATCGCCATGTAAAAAGATCACCCGGGAAAGAATAGGAAACCTACACTGCTCACAACAATTCTTCGTTGGGGCCTTGCCGACAGCGCGTTTGAGATCCTCAGACGGTCCTGAATTGCAGGATAGTACAAAGAAAGCACCTTGTGCAAGCGACTCAGACATGCAAAAAAGTCAAAACAAGCACTCCACAAATAGCCACAACAGATCATGCACGACTCACTCTCCTGGTTAACCGATAATCAGACAGAGCATAGTTAATCAGAAAAATTGCTACGCTACAGGGACTTCTAGAACTAGCTTAAATCATGCATGACTTTTAAAAAGATTATCTTAACTCTCCAACTTCAATTCAGCAACGACTAATCTATGAAAATTCGAGCAATTGCCCAGCCCGCCCAGAATGCTGTAGGGAAAACTATAAACAAACACTAAGCTAAGATACAAAGCCACACCACGGAAACTCGAACGCAAGCGGAGGAGTAAGGATTCCGTACGCGGTGACGTCGAAAGCTCAGCCAAAGGTTCAACTAGAGGTGACGGCATACAGGTTATAGTGCTGAAAATATTTGTAGCTAATAGGGAATTGGATGCCGAGAAACTAACGATATGTCAGGGATGCGGACGTTCTTCAGATTGAAGGTATCCTCCCTCATCCACTCTACACCACCAGAGGACTCGCATTCGAATACACCTATTTCCACCTACAAGCAAAGATACAGATTATGAGAATTACTTCGAAAAATGGCCATACATCAGCAACGTTATGTGTTTCCTCCATATAACCTGATTTAGGATCATAGGCGCAGGCAATTCTTCCGCTGTGAGCAGCAGAGACAGATAAGATCTCACCTAAGCACGATCAGTTCGAGTGTACTGGATTTCTAGAAAAAAAACGTCTGAGCGGACTCACCTTCTAGCTCGAGTTCGCTGGGCCGATTATCGCTAATCATATTCCACTCTTTCCATTCGTACTTGAAAACTGATCCTGGTTCAGCATCAATGCATCTCCAAAATCGTACCACGTCATCTTAAGTGACTACCTTTACAGCAGTACTCATAAATGTCAGTAAACGTGCAGAAAAACGGACCGTCGCTGCTGGTAAGCAAAACGAAAGGAGCTTGGCAGGCAGGATACAAAGATGAAGAAGGAAGATGTCCAGCAGCTGGCACAGCGGAGGTGACCTTACATTGATGAAGATGATAATTGTAGAAATTCAAACCACATCAGCAATTGAACGCACATGAACACCACCAGGAAGAGGAATCTGCTGCTCGCAAACTTTTTCACTCTTGAAGTATAACTTAGCAACGGAGGGCTGGAATGACGTCTGCGAAAACCCGTTTTCATCGTGAGGAGTTTCACGACCTATAACACATACATGTGGTTGCGATATTACAGTACAACTTTTCAATGCGTTAAGTGCCTAACATCTATCAATCATGAATGCGAAAATAATGTATATTGGGAATCACGAACCCATCTGAGAGATTGGCTGAGGATATTGAGAAGAGATTAGCAGAGAATACATCACGAAACTGAAAACAGTGTAAATCAGCACCATGAAAAACTGATGATGTGCTTGCTAATAAATCTCGCTACTATATAAAGGTGGTAAATAAGAAAACAGTTGAAGGCAGCGTCCAGGCAAAGCTGGACATATGGGGATCTCATGTGGATAGTAATTTTAGGGCTTTGAAGGCAGCGGCTCGATAAATTCTCGAATTGAAGGTTTTTTTGCTTACCTGGGGTAACTAGAGGCGCTGATTCCGAAAATCCACTCCGAAGAGCGCGAAAATGGCAAGAACCACCATCTGCCCCCCCCCCCCACCCATTTTGAATCTGGACGAAAGCACGGCCCGCCATGGTTAGAGAGGCAGAATCGTTGCGGGAGCCTAGCAGTTATAACATTGCGGCATGTCTTTTCTGACGGGTCAGGAATCGCAAGCTCGTCCGGCGTATTAGAACGGCTAACGCGTAACGGGTTTAAGGCAGTTTCCTAGGCAAGGGCAGGATGCTGTGCGCTCGGACCTGCTCTGTTCTCAGTCTGGGGTGCAAACAACCTTCCATGTCAAAATTTCAGGATGTTCAATTTTGGCAAGCTGCTGCCTTTACCTAAGCCACTGCCCAACCGGCATCTTAGGTGGTGCTCTAACGGCTGAGATACACCCCTCAAAACTGGACCCGGCGATCGTATTCGCGAGGACCCACGCGAAACTGATGGGTTGCGCCATGAATCCATGCGAGATACGATGCCGGGGTCCAGTTTCGAGAGGGACATCTTAGTCGTTAGAGCACCACCTGAGCGGCCGGTTGGGCAGTGGCTTAGTCAGGGCCCCAAAAGTACTTTCCACGTGAGATCCCCATGTGTCCAGACTTGCCTGGACGCTGCCTTCAAGAAGAAAATAGAACAGTTTTTTCCATATTGGTTCTCCAGGCATGTAGAACGATGCCGATCTCGCATTTCTTACTCAAAATTACTTTCTGAATCTAGCATACAAGCTCAGACTGGCACCACTAACTCGAGACAGAAGCTGGGTCAGCGCAGAATAAGATGTCATTTTGCCTCACTCAAATTCTCAAAAGCACAAACAAAAGAAATACTCAAGTCACTGATTGAAGAATCAACAGTGTGTACCAAAATGTATTAAAAAAAACAAGCATGTACCTTTCATATTCAGGCCCTCGCTGAACCATAACTACAAAATATCGGTCGTTGAAAACTGCAACTTTACTCCGGTCCACGACACTTCCCATGCGAGATTGACCTTCTTCGCGGGTAGTCTCAGCATCGTCAATTACAAGGCGTTCAGGAAACACGTGCAGCAAAATAAGCTCCGACTCTGTCTGAAACTAGAGGCAATATCCATTATTGTCTCAAGCATGACAATCTTTTGTACCGAAACTGCTTCGGTGATCTGCCCAACTTCTAGTACACAACCAGGCTTTGCCGTTGATTGCGTGGAAACCACATTGAACTGTTGGAGAAGCCCAACATTGGGAAATTTTTGTGGCGATAAAGTGGAAGGCAACCTGAATTATGTGCCATGGGTTAAGCTTTCAGCAATACGCAAAACTGTTACAAAAGAGTAGATCAAGAGCTAAAACTCACTCTTCATTGAGAGCTTCACTTTGCCTAGTAGAGTTGTATATCTCAGCAAGAAGTCCACGTGCATCTACAACAGCCTGAATATGGCATGTTGACCTGATCTTACACTCTAAGATACGATGGCGATACGCAACAAGAACGCTCTCTCACCTGATAGATCACCAGATTCCGACCATCGCTAGCAATAAAACAAGATGAAGGTGAATTGCATACAGTTCCGAGGGTACAGCTAATCAAAAAATAATCAGAGCAAAATACCTTTATTGATAAGGACTGATGTACTCAAAAGATACCTGGGTAAAATGACAGGTATCCAACCCAAGCAATCGAACCCTGCACGAAGAGGACTGGCAACACGTGCAAGCTCTATCACTCCGCCACTTTTGCACAAAGGACCCACAGGAGAGATCTTCCAAAGAATCACTTCGGATAACGCTCGCTTCTCCTGAAAAGAGATAAGGAATGAACGCAGTTTGTAAGCATGAAATTTCATGAGATGGTGGGAAGAAGAAACTAACGGCATTATCAAATTGAGTAGTTCGAAATTGTGATGTCGTGAGAAGGAGAGGAAGAACTGGATGCGCGACAACCTGAGAATTTTTTGTTTAGAAAGGTCATAGGTGTGGTTTTGGCAGAACTGCAAAGATATGATACCTGGCTTATTTGGAAACGATGACCACACATGCGTGAAATGTGAGTGATATTGAGAATTGTGGCAAAACCACTATTTTCGTCTACAACCATATGCCACAAATTAAGTGAGCCGTTCTCGTGATTAGTAAGTAAATGAATAGTATTTGAGATCCTCCTTTCTAACAGACGATCATTCAAAGACATATCTGTAAATAAGACCTAAGGGAAAGGAAAGTTTGATAGAAACACAACATACCTCCGTCGCGCCCTTCCTCTCCTCTTATCATATCGAAATACATGGGCACGTGAGGGTTGAATGTATTTAGCGTCGGATGAAGCGAAGAGGCATCGGTGATAGGAAAAGCAGCTAAAGTGGATGATGTAAAGAATCAAACTCTCCAATATGCAGTCCAATAATTAGAGCACATCAGAGATATTCTATAGATACGAGAAAGCGAAGTTTATTCTATAAAACTGAATTAAAAAAACAAAAGCAGAAAAGTTTGATATATTAAATGGTAAAATAAAGAAGATGAATTGCGAAAGGAAGCGTACCCGGAAACCTTGATGTAAAGGATACGGTAGGTTGCCGATGTAAATCATCCAGCCATTCAACGGTCCTTGAATCAAAACTTTAGCACATGTAACAAGAAGTGCTCCGAAAATATACCATGTAAGAAGCGAGCCATCAACAGGATGTACCGTAAACAGGATATCGCTTGACCTGGCCCACTGCCTCAGTAAAATTTCCATTTTCATATCGAAAATGTTTTTCGATGAGGGTGTATCCTGTAACCACATTCTCAACTGGCACGAAGTGGGGAGTACTACCAACAGCAGTGCATACGGAAAACAGCAGCAAAAAACAATATTCACCGAACATACGCTGCCAAAGTTATTATTTGTCCATTCCGCTTTTTCGGAGTGCGAATTGGGTGATGAGGGGCTGTACTCGCTCTCAGTATTTTCGCAAGGACTCACGTTTGCTGATCCTCAAATACCCATTGTATATTCAACACAAAATCATTCGCGCTATACTAGAAGCTTGCAACAAACTCCGACTCGAATCACTTTCTGAGATGAGGGTTTCGGCGAGTAGCTTGTCTGCTCCAATACTGAAGACGAGCTCCTTGTTGTTCAGCCAATGAACACATAACGGCTTCTGCAGAACCCCACCATTTTCCATTGAAGGAACAAGCATACAATCTGTAAATACAGGTGTAACCACCAAGTGAAGAACAATGAAGCAGTCCGGCTTTTCGCGCATTACGACTGCATTGCTTTGACTACAAAATGTACCTGTTTCTGCATTGATGGTAGCAGCCAAGTGAAACTGTATGTTGGTGTACGAATGTTGCCCAGATTGTAGGTCGCTGAAAGAAGGACTCTTTCCAATCTGTGCCCGCAGCCCCAGAGCATGAGGAGGCTCTTCACCTCTCCGTTTTTTCTCCGGTCTGAATGCAATACAATGACATTTGAATCAAAAGAATTGCAACCAAAATACTTACACAATCCCTTTAAGCTTATTGATAATCTTGCTTCTTGTCTTCTTGACACGGAAGTGCTTGCCAAAAAATTTGCGCGGTCTATTCTTTTCCCAGGATGGCTCACCTATGCACTGTATTATATGGGGGCATCTTCACAAGGATACTAAACAAGAAACACGAGAATGTTGTCAAGCATAAGCTACCTCCATCTCCACTCAAGTCAATCATTGCTAGCTCAGGCGCTGGTGTTTCCTTCCAGATTCGAGACGTATTGTCTTCACACCAAGTTATTAACGCAGCTGGCATGGGACTCCTAAGCAAGTGAATGAAAAAATCTCGCGTGAGCAAGAAGTACTGATACCTGAAGCATTGATACATGTATTTGTTTGCTCGTCTCCATTCCAATCCACGAACTGGTGCCGGATGATGCAATGTGACGAACCCAAAGCTGAGCTGATCTCGGCTATCATGTTCTAAAAATAAGTAAAAATTGGAGATTGTAACCTACGCGTACGAAGAAGTAAAAGATATGATATTGCAGTGTGCGTTCAAACTACTGGTAACAGTATTTCAAGACACACACCTATTAATCCCTAAAGTTACTTCATTCAGAGATATCGTCAAATAAAAGTCACAAATGATAAAGAACTCATTAACTCGAAAAGCAAGATAAGCCAATTACGCAATTTAACGGGGCGCAAAGTAAAGTTTGTGAAGTAAAAGTGGTTCTTGATCATTGGTAAGATATCTGTATTTGAAAAGTCAAAAAATAAAAGCGAAAGTCAAGCGAAAATGAGTCGTGAACAAGGCTAGCGGGCAAAATATGAAAAAAACAAGGGTTGACCTGCTGACTCCTGATAGAAGATCTTCACAAGATAGTCATTCTCTCCAGACACAGCCAAAAATTGGCCATCAGTAGAGAATTTTATGTACTTCGGATGTTGTGCCAGCTGTACCGACCAAACGATATCCCAGTTACAAGCGTCTTGTGATTCCTATAACATGAGAATAAGACTGCAACGAGGCAACTACTTGATAGACCAACGTCGTCTTCCGAAATGGAAAACATAACAGGTGCACTAGTTCCCGATTTCGTCGCGTTACTCAAACTTCGATGCTGATAAAGGAACAGCTCATCACCAATCACCACAGTCATTCGATGTCCTACAATATGTAAACTACAAAGCAGAAAAACGGCGAAATTGTTATTACCTTCCATGTTCCAAAGTACAGCATTTACTTGTTCTTTGACCGTAAAACACTGCGTTTCAACCCATTGGTAATTGAAATTCTGAATAAAAAAGATTTGTAAGGATCCACCAGGAAATAGCTGAACGATTATGCATACTTACAGGTTTACCCTTGTCAGAAGCAACATTAGTTGGTTCAAAGACTCGGATAATGTTACCGTATGTGGCCGCGATCTGAATCCATATAAGTAGTTTATAGAAACAAATAAATTTATAACGCTGAATTACCTTGCCCGACTCTTGGCAACAGCTCACGCTGGTTACCAGTCGTTCTGTATGATGCGAACATCCAGGGATGATCTAAAACCGAATTCCAAGTCATAAGAACGAGTAAGGCACACGATACCTGTACTCTAGAGAAGTCAGCTCCGAGAATTACTACATCTGAGCCAACCGCGCATACCTAAAACCACTGCTTTGTCAAAGTGGAGAACATAAGTTGCGCATATCGAAAAACGCTTACTATAAATGTTACTCCGTCGACATTTCCGGTAGCATAAACGTTCTCTCCTCTATTTAGTGCACCTGTTATTACCTGATGTGGTGTGGTCATGAGAGGACGACAGCCCTGGAATCACTTCCTTGTATGAAACAAATCAAATCATGAAGGATTAAATTCAAGTAAGATTGGATGCAATAAACATTAGACTATCACAGTAGAACGTTCGATAGGCACTGAATAGATATCGAGTGACAATTACAGAAGTAACAATAAATGCCAGACATATGCTACTCTTCCTTCCGACTGATCTTTGGTTTTTCCACTATCGCAAATGCAACATGACTCATGACTAAAGCATTTCTTGACGATGATCGGATTGTGTTTTTGCGGAAGCTTCTGTGTTCGCATTCACGCCAAAGTGACAATAATGCGATCATAATAAACACTTATGCATGCAATTGAAATCATGCGAACATGAATATAGTTTCGAGCAATTGAAGGAATGAACACTGTGGTTTTATGTCACCTAAAGGTTTTATGGATAGGAAAAGATATTTGAAAAAAAAACCATGGCGAGGGTGAGCATAGAATGATTTTCCATCATGAAGAAGAGAGGTTTTAACTTATAAACACCAACAACTTCAAATGATAGAGTGTCGTACTTATATTTTTACTATGCTTACACAGATGCCCTTTGCGAAACTTTTCCGTAAGCATATGTTACTACTATCTTGATTTTTCCTGATAAAAGAAGGGACGAGACTTTGTAGGCGCACCTTCACATCTAAACTCAGTAGGAGGCTTTTCAAACCCACAGGAAACAGATTAGAAAACGGACTGCACCATTCAAATTCTATCACAACAATGAGGGAAGAAAGACAGAACTCAAAGTATATATGTATGTAAACAGCATAGCGGGAAAATCAGCTGTTTGCCACAGCCTATCCTAGAAGGCAGACGCAGGAACTGCCTCGAAACCGTGCGAATTTTCCTGCGGACCAGTTCTGAAAACAAAGTATGGAAGAGAATATGAAATTAGGGGAGCTCCACTAGACATGCAAATAGGTACCACTGTCATTGGAAGCATAAAGCACAAATTCCGCCATAGACTGTGAACGTACTGCATAAACATAAATCATCTAGGAAAAACTATGCATAGAGTGTCAACCCTGAATACCGGAAAGCGACCGTGACGAGATGCCACTGCTACGAGCTTGGCCGATATTTGCAATAGTTTCTCAAATTTTCTTGCTTCACCGAGAACCTTCTAGTTGGTTGTGTATGTTCTCCTCAGAGACTTCAAAATTTGGCTACTACCAAATGTAGCATTAATAAAATAACCAACAAGAGACTAAAGAGCAAAAATCAACGCAAAGTCACAATAGAGGAAATATCGCATCTCTACGACTAGATTTTGTGCTGTGTCAAATCTGTAATTATTACCGCGTCACTCCGAATCTATTATATTAAAGCATACACGCTTTTGCTTCAAAAACAACACAAATTTAAATTGCAAGCTTTCAAAGTGCAAAGCGCCTATCGATTCACTCGTATTACCGCGACAGAGATTCACTGCGGGACCCCTCTTACAAACTTTGCGTCACCTTCCCAAGGTTGAGCGGTATTTGCAAGGACTGGTTGTGGCGGAAGAAACGAGGAAGTTGTTTGGAATAGCTTGTGATGTAACAGTTTTATCAAACCAAAAGCAAGCAATGAGTGGTACGTCAGCTGCCGCTAGTGATTTTTTTTGGAACTGGCTCCCAGATTGTGTCAGTTTAAAACTCCCTCTTTTCAATGTCAGAATGCGTCCTTTTTTTAAGATTTGGACTGACAGACTTGTGTGCCCAGCACTTTCCAGCCTGCATGCGGAATCTAGTTCCTACAAAGTTTGTAGGCTTGATTTAGAATAAATGTACTATGTCATTGATGCACGTAGATCAGTACTGCAATATGACTTGAACCATAGCGAGACGAACGCGTTACCCTCGCAATGCAGAAAAAAATTGACATTGTTCCTGTGTGCGGGCCACATACGTAGTTTCAAGATTGTAGATTTAGCTCAAACTTGCCTCAACTGGCTCATCTGGGGTAGAGGACTACACTACGTTGCAGAGAAGAGGCAGTCCCCGCCATTTGTGACAAAACGCACCATGCATATGCTCGTAGATGCGTTTCTACAAAAAATCCGCTTCACTCGCTTATCTGACATGTTGATCACGTATCATATTCGTTCTGCATTTTGGGAAGGGGGTATGCAGTGGTCATAATCATACATCAGTCTAAAACTCTGCGCAAAGGTTTATTTAGCATGCTAATCACGAATTTGGTGCTCATTTCGTGATGAAGCCTTTCATGAATTTGGATCTAAATTGTCCTGAAACGCAAAAAGTTTACTTCGCTGCAAATTACCATAACTAAGGAGTTCTCTATGCAAAGTTCTGTACATTTCGAACTTCGATCAATATAGTGTATATACGTATAATCTGAGAAAATGGCGCTATTCCGCGAAAGCAATATGACGCTTACGTTTAGCGCGCCAAGTAACCCCCTTAAACGACACCAATACCGTATACCTACCGTAACTCCATGAGAAGTCCTCCATATGCAAACATCAAATCAGTTGTACCAATCAGCCAAGTCCATGACTTTGATCCCACACCGGGAGTCCCCCCCCCCATAATCACGACGTTTTTGTGCAAAAAAAAATTGGTACTCGTGATCAGCATGTCGAAATCGAGTTTGGAGAAATTCAAGACTTGGACATTTCGGGGATGGATACCGGAATGACACTAGAAACTCTTTCATTACGAAATAGGTGTCTGCAATGTTTCTGATTGCTGAGTGACTTTGCGAACTTTTTCTCGGCTCTGCCCTGGAAATCATTAATGCCTTGCATTCCTTGCTGCGTCAGCACACGTAACTCCTCTAGAAAATCTCTGCACATTACTGTACGAGATAGATTGGCTCCATTGTCTCGCAAAAGCATGCAAAATCAACAAATCATGCGAAATAGTCGTTTAGAAGAAGCAGAACATGCGGCAATTCATGAAGGGAATTTGAAGGCGCTTTTGGCAGGATTCTGACTAGCGTTCCTGCCTTATTCGATCTAATTCGTCCATCGTGGTGATATGGGTGTGTCGATATCGGCATTTTGCACTTGCGATTTATATTTGAAAGTTCAAAAGTAAAAGCTACGGATGCTTCGATATAAATGAGAACGCAGTACTGATTACAGATTGGAGCGGTATTTATCAATCCACTTACAAAAAGAGTTCCTGTATAGGTGGAAACCCGTGTAGATGCGGTGCGGGGGGGGGGAGTGGACGAAATCAATCTAGAGCTTTTAGTTTAGTTAACTAATCACCCAATTTAGAGTTTAGTAAACTAATCACTTCAAGACTAGAGTCTTGAGGTGATTAGTTATAGTCACCCCAACTATAGTTGGGGTGTATGTCAAGAGGCGCGATTTTTATTGCCAGATGGACACCAGGTAGCACATAATAGGCGTTTTACAACTTCCTAAAAGTACCTGAAATTTAGAAGGACATACATTAGATAGCTGCATGGGTTGTGAGGGCTCATACACTGAGCAACGCTAATAGCTGTCAGTATGCATCATGACAGAACTGATTTCTCCACACAGTAACCCCGCCCTCACCCTACAATCCTTGGAACCGGAATTTCATCGAAATCGAGCTTAGAGTTCAAATTAGATTTTCTTTCGGGATAAAGATTGGTATCAAATGTTTTCTATCACGTTGTCTCCGGATACTAACTATGCTTGAAACCTTGAAATATTAATTGAGATGGAACGTGCGACTCTCTATATGCGACTCTGCGACTCTCTATCGATTCTCAAGGCTCAGAACTACAACAATTAATTGAGATGTTAATTTTTTCCATGTATTGCACTGCAAATTTGGAAAATTGCTATTTAGGGACTTGCATGCTGTCTCCAAATGAGCTGGTGATTTTCGTCAAAACCTTTGAATTTTTTTCTTTCAAACTTGACCTTTTTCATCAATTCTGGGCAAAACCGGAAAGAATGGGAAATAAAAGAAAAAAATTTGCTGTGTTCAAAACAGATCAGCTGATCCCGAATGAGAAATTTCACGTTCAATCGCTATTACAGACTTTAGAAATGGAAAATGAATTTTTACCGAATTCTCAATTATGACAATGACTTCATGCTCTGAAATTTGTTTTTGAGTTTGGTCTTAAACAAAACCATCAGCCTATTCGGAATCATCACGGAAGAGGACCCTCAAATACCACTTTCACCTCGGACAAATGTATGCATCCGCATTAAGCACGTGATAAGATATACAATGACGGATAGCATGCTCAGAGAAACAACCCACAAACGGCACCGAATTTGTTGCAACTATATTTTTGCCTCCAATACCTTTCTCTGGCCTCTATTACAAACCACAGGAGACGAACAGTATGTTAGACACCCAATTTCGCGTTTTTGCCACCTCGGTGTTCACCATTATTGACAGATTTGACGGAAAACGCGCAATTACTATTTTAGCTCCTGCGCAGCGCCGGCCTACGAAATCCGTGACCTATGCGAAGTCGGGTTGATCAAGGTTTCAGAGAACGATAAAGGTGGGGAGCAGAGTTGAGCGAAAGGTCAGGCACAAGTCGTTCGAAAACGACCCCATCCCTTTCCAGGAAAGCCTCCAAACGACCCCCTCTTAATCTTCTCCACCTCCGGAACCTCAGCATGTGACACTCTGGAGACGAGTTTGTCCTGTGGCCATATTCATCAACGAACCCTGAGGGTTAAACTAACCCTAGAGGTTACTTTAACCCTGGAAAGCGATTAACCCGTATTCATGAAACACAGGGTAGGCTTAAAACCTGAGGGTAAATCTACCCTTGAGCGTAAACCTTACACCGAAAGCTATTAACCCGTATTCATCAACGAACCCTGAGGTTTAAACTAACCCTGGAGGGTAAAACTTACGTGATTCATCAGGGTTAATTTAACCCTAGCTTAGAGCAAGGTTAACTCTACCCTAACACTTCATACAAACATTTACTCGCATCTAATAGTTTTGTGGAAAACGATCGACGAGTATTGTAGTATTTAGTATTAGTTGTTGATATATATAGTATTTACTTTCAACTTCGTTTTATGTTCAAATTCGAAGTACATGAAACACTGACTTCGCGAGCAAAAGAATTCTAGCTTTGGTGACAAATGAATGCGACGATGAAAAATGGTTGCGCATTCCACCCTAACAAGTGCCAGAACAGAAATACCCCTTTATGGTAACACGCATTGACCCCTAAAAGAGTAGCCCAGCCCGATATAAAACGAAATGCGCATAGAACTTACACGGCACAATTGCACACATGAAAATAAACTTACGCTGTAAGGTTGGATCCTGCACAAATGTGCTAGAGATGTGTTATAAAAACTAATGTTAGAAGCTTATTCGTTGATTATACTACTATAACAGTGAAAGAATAGAAGTATAAAGTGAATTCAGCACGTACTTAGGCATTTTGTGATGTGAGTTTGCCAGCGCACGCGTAACTGACGCCTGAACCCTCCAAGGTTAGTTTAACCCTCAGGGTTAAATTAACCCTGGAGGGTTAAGGTTCGTTGATGAATACGGCCACAGGTTCGTTGATCGATACGGAATCCTGAGGGTTAAACTAACCCTGGAGGGTAAGTTTAACCCTCAGGGTTCGTCTATGAATACGGTCACTGCAGAGTTTTTGAATTTTAGGAGACTGTATGATCGCTTTTCTGTGATTGCACATTACAAGTACACGCAATTTGACGGCGGATTTTGATGTGAATCTCCCTAAAACGAGCCAGAATTTTCCCAGGGATGGAGTGTTTTGCTTCAAATTTTCACTAAGGCAAGAAGAGGCTATGCTAAGTACTCATACCAGAAATGGACTGATTTCTGAATTTTGAAGACAAGTTAAGTGGGTCAGGCGCAAGGCTACAAAAGCTCAGGCGGCCTGACCTTTTGAGGGGTTGCGCCCGACCCCATCAACTTTATCTTTGAAGACGACGCTTTTTCATCCATGTTTTATGTAATTCGCTAGCACAAACCTCGGACATTCTATAGTGTGCGTTTGAGCTTAGCTCGACTTGTTTCGGCTTTGTGGTAAT